CTTCGTTCTGAGGCGAGGCGGAGGCTCTCGTCCCCATCGTTCGCGCCCAGCTGCGGCGCTAGTCTTCGAGACGTTCAAGGACTTGGTGCGCATCACACGCGCGATGAGGAGGGCCTGGTGTAGCCAGGACCCTGTGCAAGGGAAGCTGGTCAGTGATTGTGTCCCGAATCTTCGGGTGTGGGCAGTTCTGGTATGTGGAGGGGGAAGGGGAAGGGGTCTTTTAGCACACATCACTCATGAACGAGGGTCCACTCAACCCAGTCCTGCTAGCGCCCGAAACGGGTTGAGGGAGGGATCCCGACTTCCCCCCCGGTCGTGAGATATATATATATGTATATATATATACATAAATGTATATGTTTGTGTATAGTAATCCACAGTTGGTGCATTGCATCATGGTGTGCTAGATCGAATTCAGTATGTCGTTAAAATGTATACTGTATGTTTTAATAACTATGTCAGTACATATTTTCTTCACCTTCGTATGTGTATAATCTGTCACATGCTATCATATCATATTGTGGTATACAGTTTAAGATACACCAGATTGTCGTACATTCTCATCCACTTTATTAACGTATGCCATGTTCTATTTTATGTGATTGTATTCTTGCTAATTTATGATGTGTTCTGTTGGTATGTAACGGTTAATATTTTATTGTGTTATACATATACCAGCTGGTGTTTTATGAGGAAGTGGTATGTCTTAACATAGCATACCATTCCATTATATTTTCATTGGGCGTATTCTATGTAATATGCAACGCCACCACATCATGCAACATAGCGTTATTTTTCTATATCATACCACCACGTGGTAGATTGTGGTAATATAGCATCGTATATCGGATTGTGTCGTTTTTGTTTGCACAAGATCATATAGCAAATTCGTCAGTTATTCTGTGTTATCGTAGTCATATTGTCCTGCAGTAGCACCAACGTATCACATGCTCTTTTTATGATGTTGTACTGTTTTATTGTTATCGTATTGTAATATGAGGTGATTTGTATTTCTGAATGGCTTGGAACATACTGTGCCATGTATTACAATGCGCCGCAGCAGTACGCAGCACACTATTATCTCATATGGCATAATTGCTGTACTGTTTCATTTCGTAGCATTCCGTAATATGTTATATTCCCACAGCGTATTTGCATTCCATCGAATTATTGTATTTGGTATTGAACCATGGTATACCGTATCATATGCCATCAGTATATACACTGCCATTGCATGCCTAGTCATCTCAGATTGTAATAGATTTCACAATGCATCCCCTTTCTACATTATAGTTTATCCTATAGTATGGTAGATTGTTTTGAAATGCGCCATACTTTGCTATTTCAGATTATACCATTGTACAGGTTTATCGTATGTCAAACCCTAAGATAGCGTGTTATATCATACCCTTTCAGAAACTATGCTATCGTACTATGCCGTATTCTCTTTTGCCTCACATGGTATGCGAGGGTCGCGTATTTTATTCTTCCATATCGTACGATGGTATGCTATTGCATATGCTGATGTATTGAAGTGTGTTGCGTCGTACTATAGTGTAGTGCGTTCCGCATTTGGATTGCCAGATCGTGCTTATCATTATCTTGTATTCTATAGGCTCACAGTCTGTATGGCCCTAGTATGCAGTATTTTCTTTTGTCATTGTACATGTAACTGCAATAAATCCTGTTATATAAGAACTTGTTATACCACATCATGTCATAGTACATTGTTTTCTTGTCTTTTTCTAATGTTGTGTCGTACGGTGGCGTGTAATATTATATCATGTAATCGTGTATGGTGTGTTGTCAGATTTTGCCATATCATATTGCATTATGCCAGATGTTCTTATACACTATTGTAGTTTTATGCTGTATCCTCTCATGGAATATTACTTTCCATTCTAGTATATTCTATTTCACAACGTCAGCGTTTATCAGGTTAGATATCGTATATTGCGGTGCCGTAAATTCTACAACCGGCCGTATTTTACATGATATCATGCAGGTTTCAGTTTGATATTTATATTTACGAATGGAACAAAATCAGTAGGTTCCGTATCTGTACGTAAATACATATATATATATATATATCCAGACGCATCGTATGATACTCCGGTTGTGTGATTTCATGTGAGTCTCAACGTTGCGAGTTGTGGTATATTCCAGCATGTGATATGACATAATGTCATATTGTATTATTTTACGTTACGTTGTACTAGATCACAGTAAATTTTGTCAGGCTGAGTTATGTCACAATAGACGATATGGCATTACATTAAATTCTATTGCGATGTAATCTATGGGATGCGACTGCACGGTTTTGGTCTTTGGCTTCCAGGTACCCTCGCTGGGCCGTGGTGCCGCCAAACATCAGACCAGGATGAAAAAGGCGTCCCCAGGAATGGGCCGAGACCTGTGGGGGTCCACGATGTGAACTCGGGGCTTGGGGAAGAGAGGCGGGAGGAGGGAGGCGGGAGGGAGGCAAAGAGGAGTGAGGAGGAAGGGGCAGAGGGGGAGGGGCCCGACCTCCCCACCCCCTGCAGCAGCAGCAAAAGCAGGGGGCGGATGCGGGTTTCCCGCACCTGGCGAGCGTGCAACCGCCTACGCGGCTCCCTGGAGAGGCCAGGGGAGACGCGGGGCCTGACTCTCAGCTTAGATGTTCAACGGGGCCTAGAAATATACGCCACCACCACATCCTTCATTCTCTCCCTCTCCCAGGAGAGGAGAGGAAGAGAAGGGTATGGGGTGGTGGTGGTGCATATGATTGAGACCCGCATGTTCGTTTCGGGGGCCTTCCCCCAAGGAAGAAACCCCAGCATCAACAGAAGTTTTCGCGGCTTCCCGCGGAGCTCCGATGGCTTATCAGTCGGTTTTTGTTTGTTCCTCTGTGTCCTGTGGACCACCTGACGGATCTGTTCGATTCTAGCTCGACTCCAGTTCGCTCGGCTTTAGCCCGACTCAGCTTAGACTCAGCTTTGGCTCAAGTCGGCGGGGAGCTCGTCGCAGCATCGACGCACAGGTGGAGCGAATGGCTCCAGGAAGGACTTCAGCACGAGCCCAGACCACCTGCTCCCGTCGAGGAAGCTATCGGCGGGAGGAGGAGGAGGACGAGGAGGAGGAGGAAGAGGAGGCGGATGAGGAGGAGGAGGAGGCGGAGGAGGAGGAGGAGGAGGAGGCGGAGGAGCGGCGGAGGAGGAGGAGGAGGAGGAGGAGGAGGAGGAGGAGGAGGAGGAGGAGGAGGAGGAGGAGGAGGAGGAGGAGGCTGAGGAGGAGGAGGAGGAGGAGGCTGTGTGGCGGCGGAGGCTCCTGCGCCGTTTTCGATCTCCCGGGGCCCTCAGCGGGCCTCGGGACTTTCCAGGAGCAGTCCATGATGAGAAGCCGGTCCCGTGAGAAGGGTCCAGACCTCTGGAGGCCGACGTCGTGGAAAAGTGCGGCGTCGGAGCTCTGGGAACCCTCGCGGCGAGGGTTCCCCAAACTGCTTTTTTGGTCTGGCGAGAGGGCCTCGCCGCACCAACGAGGAACGGGGGTCCCCTTGGGGTGATCGGGCATTCTCCCTTCAAGGAAGAGCCCTGACCGAGATCGGATCGCCCCCTCCTCCTTGTTCTGGTCATGGTCATGGGCCTTCTGCTCGGCGGCGGGCCTGGGGGGGAAGTGAGTCCTCCTCCTCGTCCTCGATCCTCGATCCTCCTCGATCCTCGATCTTACTCCTCGATCCTCCTGCTCCTGCTCCTCATCGTCCTCATCCTCATCCTCATCCTTATCCTCGTCCTCATCCTCATCCTCATCGTTTCCTCCTGAAGGGGCGTGCCTTCTCAGAAGGCTCGGAAGGCCTCGGGCCTTCCAAGAAATGTTCTTAGCCTTCCCCGAAGGCGCATAACATTTTTTCAGCAGGCCGGAGGGCTGCTGAGGAGCCCCGCCGCTGTCTGCGAAGGCCTCCTCCTCCTCTTCTTGCTTCCCCCTGGCTCGCCGCGATCTGCCTTCGTCATCCGCGGCCAGAACATTTCTGTAACGGAATCCGGTCGCGACACATTCAGGCCGCGATTGGGGGGGTCGAATGTCTGTAACGAAGAGCAGGCGCATCCGGGTCCGAGCGAGGGCTTCGACGACGTCGACGGCTCGCTCGTTGCCGGAGTTCTCGGCCGGGGGCTGAACCTCGGTCGCGACCGCTTCGTCCAGAGCGTTTCTGGACGTTTTTTCGGTAGCGGACGATCTGGGTGGCCATGGTCCCATGGGAAGGCCCCCGGAGCGAGCATCCGTCTCGCTGTCCTGATACGCGCGTGTTGAAACGCAGCACGCTCCGTGTCCGGCACGTCTCACGCACGTGTTGGCCCGCGCTCGGGCGAACGTGTCGCGCCAGGCCCACGCGTGCAGTCTGCGTGCTGAGCTGCGTGTCGACGCGCCAGGTCGCGTGCTGCGCATCTGGGCAGCCGGGAGCATCTGACCTCCCAGACCCCGGACGTCGTGATTTTTTCATAACGTCGACCCCCAGAGGTCTGGACCCCTTCCCCGTCACCGGTTTTTCATCCTGAGTCGTTTTTTGACGCTCCCAGGGCCCGGTGAGGGCCCCCGGAGGCCGAACATAGCGAAAAACTTCCCGTCGTGTTTTTTTCACAGCGCGAGGGGGTCTGACCTCTCTTGCCGGTCACCCGCTCGGCCTCCCCCCCCCCCTGGAGGGTTTCTCCGAATGGTTTAGGCGACCCGTCCTCCTCTTCCCCCTCCTCCTCCTCCTCCTCTCCTCTCCTCCTCGCCTCCTCCTCTCCCTCCTCTCTCCCTCCCTCCTCTCCCCTCTTCCTCCTCCCTCCTCCTCCTCCTCCTCCTCTCCCCCCCTCCTCCTCCCCCTCCTCCTCCTCCTCCCCTTCCTCCTTCCTCTACTCCTCCTCCTCCCTTCCTCCTCCTCCCTCCTCCTCCTCCTCCTCCTCCTCCCCCTCCTCCTCCTCGCCCTCCCGTCGGGCCGCCTACGGCCCCGGGGGAAACCGTTCACCCCCCCCCTCTCGGGCGAGGCGGCGCGGGCGGCGGGGACTCGGAGGTGCAGATCGAGGAGAGGCAGCTGCCTCGCCCAGGCCCGCGGCGCCCGCCGCCCGGGCGTCCGAGGTGGAGGGGGAGACCCAGACGGGATCCCGTCGCAACAAAATCGGCCTCGGGGGGCCCTCGCGGGGCCGCGGGACCGTCAGAAAACGACTCGGGACGAAGAACCCGTCCTGGGGAAAGGGCCGGGACTTCCGGGGACCCCGTATCGGAAAAATGAGGACGTTGCATGTCTGGAGAGGGGCCCGCTGCCGTGCCTTTTAGGCTCCTCAGCGGGGAGGCTTCTTAGAAGCAGCCTCAAGCGGCCTCCTCCTGAAGAACCTTCCCCCTCCCCCTGACCGCATGCCCCAGACCATAAAGCAGACCCCCCCCTTTACGACCAGACCTGAGAGTTAATGATCCAGGGACGATGAATATATAATCCCCCCCCGAACCCAGAATTTTATAGTCCCCCGTGTGTGATCATCAGGGGCCCAAGGTTGAGTCGGGCCTGTCCCACTACAGGAGGAATATTCAAAAAGAGTCCAAACATGGTCTGGGGACGATTTTTGTTTGGAGTATTTTTCGACTATTGTGTTATTTGTTATTGTGGTTATTATTGTTATTCTTATTGATCCTATTATTTGTATTATCTTTATTCGTATTCGTTTTTTTGTGTAATATTTAAATTATTATTATTATTATAGTTATTATTGTTATTTTTTGTATAAAATATAATATTATTATCATGGCTATCATTATTATTGTTTTTCTTAGTACTATTATTATTATTATTATCATTTTGTTCTTCTTCTTCTTCTTCTTCTTATTATCATTGTGATTTATGATTATGATTATGAGTATGATTATGATTGTGATTATGATTATGATTATGATTCTGAGTATGCTTGTGATTATGATTATGGCTATGATTAGATTATGACTATTATTGTTAAAGGGGGGTGACATAACTCTTTCGCCCCAGAAGCCGCCTGCAGGGGGACACGCCCGACCTGAGCCAAGCCCAGGGTGGCCCCGCGCTGCGCGCCGCCAAGCCCTGGGTGCCGTGGGCCGCCCACGAGCTCCGGGGTAGCTGGGTCGTCCTGCGCCTCGCGCGCCGACCCACAGAGAAGCAAACGACACCGCCCCACCTACGGTAAAACGACGCGAAGATCGGGACAAAATCGGATCGGGATAACTCGAAATCTCTGAGAATCGGCGGGTTTGGAGGATGTATTGGGCGCCGCGGCCGCTCCAGAGCGTTCCGGAACGCTCTGAGAGCGCTCCGGAACGCTCTGGAGCGATCTATCCCGATCTTAGCTTTGTTTTATACGGTCAAGATGGGCACGTCCCCCTACCGTTTTTTTGTTGTGTGTGTGTGTGGGGGGGCGAAAAAGTAGAAATACCCCAGAGATGCCCCACCAATGCCCCAAAAATAGTTAAAAAATAGTCCCCCGGAAGTCCAAAGACAGTCCCCACCTGCACACTGTTCATGTGTAACTCTTCGGAAGTTCTTTGATTTTTCGGGGGCCAAGATCCTTTCGTTTCTAATCGTTTTATCCTGGGCCTCTCCCTGGCCACCAGGGGGCCATTAATAATCAGAAACGAGCGCAGTTAGAAATGAGCACGATTAGAAATGAACGACGTCTACGGCCCTCCATGTTGCGCTGCGGCCCATCGGGGGCCGCGGCGTATAGCTACCACGCAAGAGCCCGAGCCGGAGTTCGTGGTATGTGCTACTGCCCGTGGGGGCCGTAGGTGGGGTGGTGTCGTTTGTCTTCTGGTCTGGTTCACCTCACGGGTGCGTTCCTCTCGGCGGCGCCCGAGCACACTACTATGTGTGCGTCGCCCCCCCCCCAGGGGCGACGCGCGCACCGAGAAATCTTCTTGTGTACGCGTCGTGACGGGCGCTTTCTGGCCACACCGCTCCCGAAACGATCTACGACAAGATGGGTGTACTATGTGTGTTCGGGTCGGACGGGGGCCTCCAAGGAGGACATCGAGAGCACCAGCATGTCTCTGTGCGTCCCGTCCTCCCCCCTTCCAGGCTCGTCCTCGGCACCCACCAAACCGCCCCAACCCAACCCGAAGGCCTCAACTTGCCCTCCATTTCCAGTGGGGGGGGGGTCGGGGAACATTGAAAAAACACGTATGGAGCCCGTACCCCCCCCAACCCGAAATTCGAGTCTTCGGGTTGGGTTGGGGTTGTCTGGTAGGTAGTCATCGTCCTCGGCACCGTCGCCGTCCCCGTGAGGCCTCGGCCTCGCTGCCGGCCGCCGCGGGTGGTTGGGGGGGTCGGCGTGGCGCCCGGGCGCGGTGGCGACGAGGAGCGGCGGGGAAGTCCAGGGCCCAGCACGGGGCCGGCTGCCGTGGGGGTTCGCAGGCCACGCCCTCGCTCTCTGTCGCGTCGTCGCCGTGTTCGGCCTCCACCTCGTTCTGCCTCGTCGTCCCCTCGTTTTCCGATTTGGCGCGCCCGAGGGTTTCTCACCTGTTCGCGAAGGCCTGGCGGGTAGCACCATCCAGCCTGGAACCTGCTCAGGCCCAGCATCGGGCAGTGCGAAGTCTTACGACATCGTGCGCATCTTCTCCGCTGTTGTTCGCTCCGCGACCATCGCAGCGCGGGGCCGCGGGGGCGCGCAGATAGCTGGGATTCGCGCGTCGCTCTGCTGCTGCAGTGCCGCGGCGGGAGGCCGCGGAGACAACCGAGCGCCGCGCCTCGAGGTGGAGCGCGAAGCTGGGCGACCCAGGCTGCAAAGCCCACCCTTCCATGAGACCGGGGCGACGCAGCACGAATCGCGAAGGCAGGTTCTTGCAGTTTTCGGCCTCGTGCCCCAGCCTTGGGACCGTTAAATAACGGCTCGGGATGAGAATCTGTCCCGGGGAAGTGGTCGACGTCCTTGGGGGTTGACGCCACGAAGAAGTTACAGCGTCGGGGAAGCGCACAAGCGCTCAAGCGTGCAGCAAGCATCGTCTCGGTAGGAACTGGCCTTCGCGGCTAAGCGTGATGTTAACATCGTTAGGCCTCCTGAGGACTGCAGGAAAACCAAAAACAAGCATAAAAACACGTCGGGGAAGAGGGCTTGTTGCCTCTCTCAAGGCGGGACTTGGCTGGAGGGCCCCGGCCCGCGCCGCCTGGGCAGAGGCTCCGAGCTGCGCTCCACGCTGGACTCCCTCTCGAGGACCTTCGACCTGCCATGGTGCCCGCGGCCTTCCCTCCAGCGTCGTCGGCAGCCTCGCTGTGACAGGTCGCCGTCGCCTTCGCGGCCGTCACGGTCGCCATCACCGTTTTCGCCGTTGCCCGCTGTGCAGGGGAGGAAAGGCCACCCGGACCGGACAGTTGGCGTTTACGGAACGGATCTGGGCGTTTATTAAACAGCCCTGCCCTGTTTGATTCCTTCTTTGGGTGCGTTTGCTGAACGGCTTCGCGTGTCGAGGTGGTGATTATCGGGGTGGATTTTCAGCCCTCTAGCTATTTCCACGCAGGTATCGGTGGCGGCACGGCGGCCAGAGCGACCGGCAGGCTCAAACGCCGGGCGGCGACGAGGCGGCGACGGGGCGGCGACGGCGGCTCCGCCAGACCGACGCGCTGGCCCAGCTCTGTCGAGCACAAGTGAGAAGCCCTAAGTGCAAGCCCCGTTTAGGGAAAGCCGAAAATCAGCGCAGCGAAGAGCAGTGCAACGAACTGCTGCACATGAGTGTGAAGCAGTGCAGAGCAGCACAAAGAAAGCAATCCACGTCAGTGCAATGCACTGCACAGTAGCGCAGAGCAGTGCAAAGTAAGGCAAAGCAGTGCAAGGCGACGCAGAGCAGCACCGAGCAACGCAGAGCAGTGCAAAGCAGTGCGGCGACGAGGCGGCGGCCGGCGGAGACGTGGCGACGTGGCGGCGACGGCGACGGGGCGGCCATGGCAACCACAAGGCAGCGGGCCCAACGTGGAGGAGCAGACGACGGGCGGCGACGAGGCGGCGACGTCGCGGCGACGGCGACGGCATAGCCGCCAGACCGCCACACGGGCCCAGGCGACGGGCGGCGACGAGGCGGCGACGGGGCAGCGGCGGCCACGACATAGCCGTGGGACCGCCACACAGGCCCATTTCCTGAGAACACAGGTAAGAACCCCTGCGTGAGTGCAAGCCCTGCTTGGGGAATCTGTCTGCATGGGTATACATCATGTCGTAGTATGTGATCGTAAATCTCAGGCCAAGCCAGATCGTATGAGCCAAATGGCTACGAAGGGAGGAGGAGCAGGAACAGCAGCGAGAGAAGGCTGGAGGAAGCATGCAGCTATTGTTGGTGACTCGACATCGTCAGCATCGGTTTCACACCGACTACCTGCGACGCCTATGCCCCGAAGGGGACCGAATGGAGGCGGAGGGAGGGGAATGTATTACCATGTCTCTGGGGACGCGCCCGTGTGCATAGCAGGTGCAGTATCAGGTACAAATCCCACAGCGACAGTTGCGCGCGACGCTGACAATCCTGATGACCTGACTCCTGCCCTGGCACTCCCAAGGAAGAGCCAAAGAGCAGGAAGCAGGTGGTGAACTGAAACACGAGTTCTTTTGTGCAGTAACTTTGGAATGCGGGGCTGAGCGAAAATACATTCGAGGATGTCCTTGTTATCGCAAACTCCTTCGACATTCGCTGGGGCTAGGCAACGAGGGCCCAGCAACGACCAAACCACAATGAAGACGGTCTAGGTGGGACACTTGTGGTGCGTCGGAGCGCGAGAGGGGGAGGAAGAGGAGCACAGCCATGTTGATGCACAAGTCTCGCGTATCATGCTTTGAAGGTTTTCATGCGATGGACGGGGGCAGGGTGCGTTGAAATTCTAGACGCTTCGGGTATCCCCACCATCCCGTAGTCTCGGCGTAGCCCGCTTTGACCTGACTCGCCGCCGGCGCGTCCGCCCGCGGCCGCTGACTAAAAAGTGTCCTCACCATCCCATCCAGAAACGATGTCCAGGCGAGTTGAGGTGATCAGGGAAGCGCGGGAGCAAAGAGTGGGACGGCCGAACCGTGCGAAGGAGGTAGGAGGAGGAGGCTGGATGGATGGATGAGGGAGTGGGGAGAAGGAAGATGAATAGGAGGAGGAGGAGGAGGAGGAGGAGGAGGAGGAGGAGGAGGAGGAGGAGGAGGAGGAGGAGGGGAGGAGGAGGAGAGGAGAGAGGAGGAGGAGGAGGGAGGAGGAGGGAGGAGGAGGAGGAGGAGGAGGAGGAGGAGGAGGAGGAGGAGGAGGAGGAGGAGGAGGAGGAGGAGGAGGAGGAGGAGGAGGAGGAGGAGGAGGAGGAGGAGGAGGAGGAGGAGGAGGAGAGAGGAGGGAGGAGGAGGAGGAGGAGGAGGAGGAGGAGGAGGAGGAGGAGGAGGAGGAGGAGGAGGGAGGAGGAGGCGGAGGAGGAGGAGGAGGAGGAGGAGGAGGAGGAGGAGGAGGAGGAGGAGGAGAGGAGGAGGAGGAGGAGGAGGAGGAGGGAGGAGGAGGAGGAGGGAGGAGGAGGAGGAGGAGGAGGTGGAGGAGGAGGAGGAGGAGGAGGAGGAGGAGGAGGAGGAGGAGGAGGAGGAGGAGGAGGAGGAGGAGGAAGGAGGAGGAGGAGGAGGAGGAGGAGGAGGAGGAGGAGGGAGGAGGAGGGGAGGAGGAGGAGGAGGAGGAGGAGGAGGAGGAGGAGGAGGAGGAGGAGGAGGAGGGGAGGAGGAGGAGGAGGAGGAGGAGGAGGAGGGGAGGAGGAGGAGGAGGAGGAGGGAGGAGGAGGAGAGGGGAGGAGGAGGAGGGAGGAGGAGGAGGAGGAGGAGGAGGGGAGGAGGGAGGGAGGAGGAGGAAGGAGGAGGAGGAGGAGGAGGAGGAGGAGGAGGAGGAGGAGGGGAGGAGGAGGGAGGAGGAGGAGGAGGAGGAGGAGGAGGAGGAGGAGGAGGAGGAGGAGGAGGAGCAGGAAGAGAAGGAGTAGGAGGAGTAGGAGGAGGGAGGAGGAGCAGGAGGAGGAGGGCAAGCACAAGGGGCAGATGTCTCTTGGATGCCTCTCGGAGCCTCTTGGGATATCTCTTGGGCGCTTCTTGCTGACCTCTTGGGACGTCTTTGGGGTCGCTTGGCGATCCTGGGGGGCTCTTGGGCGTCTTGGGTGCCTCGGGGGGGCCTCTTGGGGCCGCTTGGGGTCCTCTTGGGGGCCTCCGGGGGGCCTCTTGGGGGCCTCTTGGGGCCATGTTGGGGCCATCTTGGGGCCTCTTGGGGCCTCCTGGGCGCTTCTGGGGGCCATCTTGGAGGACATCGATCAAAGAAGGGGGGGTCCCTAATTAGGGCTGCCCCTCTAGAGCCTCTAATATCGCCTCTTGGGGCACTCTTGCGGCGCGTTCTTGGGGCGCTCTTGGGTGCTCTTGGTGCCGTCTTGAGCTCTCTTGGGCCCTTTTTGGGGCCCTCTTGGGCTATCTTCGAGCGATCTTGAGGCCTCGGATGGCCATCGGAAGCGAAAAGGCGAGAAGGCACGTATAATTGGTTTTCCTTAGGTTTTGGAAGGATTTGGGCTTCTTGGAGGCCTCCTTGGATGTCTCGGAGGCCTCTTGGAGCCGTCTTGGAACCTTCTTGGGTCCTCTTGGAGCATCTTGAAAGCCATCTTGAGGCATTTCGGTCTATCTTGAGCCATCTTGGAGGTCTTCTTGGGCTCTCTGAGACCCTCTTGGAGCTGTCTTGGGCCATCTTGGACGCTCTGACCGCTCGCGACGGGCCGTGTCCAGGTCCAGGGGAGGGCGTAGGGGGGAGGGGGCAAACTCTTCCCGAAAGGGGAGAAGAGGGCTGGGAGAGGAAGCGCTCTAAAGGTGCCCCTGGGCCGGGGGCCCAGGAAGTTGCCAGAGGTGCCCCTGGCCCAAGGCGCCTCCCAGCTTCTCGCTGCATCTTGGAGCCCCTGGGGCCCTCATGGGGCTCGCGAGGGGTGCTCTGGAGGCCTTGGGGGCCTCCTTGGACATCCTGGGGGCGCCTTGAGCCAGGGGGACTCCTACCGGCGCTTTCGAAACAGAAACACGCCCAGGTACAACGACTTGAAGATGGCGCAAGAGCGCCCCCCCCGCGCCCCCAATTTCAATGTTCATCTGAGGGAGCAGGCCGCGGTTTGCCAATGCGGGCGTTTTGTTCCCGAAGCGACGCGCGCTCCCCCTCATCGTCGACCACCCCGAACCTTGCATCTGGGGCAAGGGGCTTGGGCCCGTTTCAGCACGCATTAGAGATGGGCGTTTTCTCAGTTTTATTTTTTTAGCATTTTTGTTGGGTGCAGAGAAAACGCGAAGAAAACCACGGCAGCAACGCCCGACGTGTGAGAGGTGTGCCGAGAGCAGAGGCAAGGAGGGGGAGGAGGGAGGAGGGGGAGGAGGAGGAAGGAAGGAGGTGGGACGCGGGGCGCTGTCTCTTCAAAACGAGGACCCAACACCACAGGATGGTTGGGACAAAGAGAACCACGGCAGCAACGCCCGACCGAAGGGGCTGGCGACCGCCAGGTACGGCCTGCTGGCGCACGCGCCCCCGCCGCCAGTGGACCGGCCCAGCCAGGCGGGGCGCCCGGCCGCGCGCCGCCCGGGGGGGCCCGCCTCGCGGCCCTGCCCCGTGGGCGGGTCGTGCCCTGCCGCCGCGGCGGGCGCCCCGTCGGACGCCTCCTCCTCCTCCTCTTCCCCTCCTCCTCCTCCTCCTCCCCTCCTCCTCCTCCTCTCCTCCTCCTCCCCTCCTCTCCTCCTCCTCCTCCTCCTCCTCTTCCTCTTCCTCCTCCTCCTCCTCCTCCTCCTCCTCGTCCTCGTCCTCCTCCTCGACGCAGGAGGGGGGGCTAGGCACAGGGGGGGACGCATCGATCCCCCCTCGCCCAGCGATCGCCGCTATGGGCCCGACAGCCCCATGCCGCCCAGGAGGGTGCGGCTTCAGGATCGGGGGCCTGTCGCCGATCTATCGGCGATGTGTCGCCGATTCCAGGTCGATGCATCCCCCCCTATGCCTGTCCCCCCCTATCGCTGTCCCTCATGGAGGTGAGCAGGAGAAGGCCTTCTTGGAAGGCGGCGGGACTTCTCGGAGGCCCTCGCGCCTTCTGAGAAGTTTTCTGTGTCTTCGGGGAAGGCTCAGGAACTTCTCAGAAGGCCGGGGGACTTCCGAGCCTTCTGAGAAGGCCCGCCCCTTCTCATTCCCCCCCTGGGCTCGTCGCCTAGTAATGGGGGGTGCGATGAAGGAGGGGGGGCAGCGAGGGCTGTAGGTAGAAAAGGGGCCCTTTATCGGGCGACGAAATCCATACATGTCCACTGCCCCCTGGCATGTCCCTTCCTGGGCCCAGAGGCTGTGTATACGCCCTCCTGGCCAAGCCAGCAGGGCGTGGCGCATACACCGCTGCTGGGTTCCAGATGGGCCTGGCCAGGGGGCAGTGGCTACGTATAGATTTCGTCGCCCTGTTTTGGGGCCCAAGAGGGGGCCTTCGGGGCCCGAAAAGAAGTGTACCCTTCTTCCCCGCCCCCCCCCCCACATTTACGGCCCCCCATTCAGCGACGCCCGAGACCGCCGCCTTCTCGTCCACCACCTCCCTCCGATTCGGTGGCGAGCGAGGGGGGGAGAGCGAGAAGCAGAGGGCCCTCTCAGAGGGCCACGGGGCTCCTCAGAGGCCCCCTCGGCCTCCCGAGGAGTGCCCTGGTGTCTTCGGGGGAGGCCCCGGGAGGCTTCTCGGGAGGCTGGCCCCGGCCACCCGCGCCTCTCGACCGGGCCCCTTCCCGCTCCCGCCTCCCCCCCGTCGGGTGCGCCGCCGACCGATGTCTGTTCCATGGGAGCCTCGGGCGGCGGCGTGTTGGCATCGGCCGTTGCTGCACCGGGGCCGCACTTGGACCGCGCCTGGGCCCCTTCTCCTGCCTCCTCGCCCCCTTCCAGCTCCTCCCTTCCCCCTCCTCGCTCGCCTCGTCTCCCCTGTGCAAGGGGCCAGACCCGGTCCAGACCCGGTCCCGAAGGAGCGAGCGAAGTGCTGAATGCGACACGCACATGCGCACATAGCCACCATCACGTGGAGTCACAATGCTGAGTGACTGCGACGCGCCACGCTGTGCCGAAGAAGCGGTATCCTGCCACAGCGCCTGAAGGGCCTCCTCACCAGTCCACATCATGTCCAAACGGAAAGCGCAGGGGGCCACGTAGGTTCCCATGAAACAGACACCAGAACCTCCCGTGCCCTTCCCCCCAAGCGTGCACATCGGAGAAGAAAGACGGCACAAGCATGAGCCTTCGGAGGTCCTCTCGGATTTGTTGGGACGGCGCTGGACCTGGCGCCACCCCTGGCGCACTCCGCGCGCCAGGGGGGACAGGGAGGTCCAGTGCCAGTCCAAGGAATCCGAAAAATGGTTTCGAAAGTTTTATGTTTATGCATGCCATTCCCTCTAATACAGCTCCCATTCAGGAGGGACAAAAACACAGACTCAAATAATCGTCGATTCCCAGGAAATATGGGAAAATATGGGAAGTGGGGGGGAAGACGAAAATCCAGAAAATATGGGAAAGTATTGGGCATCCTGGGACTTGTGTGTATTTATTTGTGTGTCCTTGGGCCCCTTGAATTTCTCTCCCTTTAAGACAGCTCCCATGTCTGATCGCGCGTCGGACGATGGGGTCACCTGCAGGATCCAGGTCCGCTGGGACCTCCGTCGGCGCACACAGAGAAGAGCCAGCGCAATTGGAAGGATGGGTTGGAGGAGTAGGTTTAACGTCGGGCCTGTCCCTCTACAGGATGAGTATTCCAAACTAGTAAAACTAAGCTATTTTCTTTTGATTTGTTGTTGACAATTTTGGCGTATGTGGCTATTTTTAATTTTTCGCCCAAAATCCGCCTGTAGGGTATGGCGCGAGCGCACCTGGCATGCCCCCTCCCCCTCTCCCCGCTTCCTCCCCCCCCGTGGATCCTCCTCCTTCGCTCCCCTCCGGTCCTGTCCCGTTGCGCTTGTGGTCGTGTCCTGTCGCGTTCCCCCCTCCTTCCCTGACAGGCCCACTGCGGCGGGACCCCCTTCCCCTCTGTCCTCTCCATCACTCTTCATCCCCCCCTTCCCACTCCTCCCTCCTCCCTCCCCCATCCTCCTGCCTTCCCCCTCCGTCCTGCATGCGTGAAGCCGCCTGAGTGTAACACTTTTGAGGCCATGGCCTCCGCGCCATGCCCCCCATGGGCACGGGCCTGCTCCCCAGAGGAGCGCGCACGCCCCTGGCTTTCGCCTCGCTTCGCTCCCGTCCTCCCTGCTTCTTCCCCTCCTCGTCTCCGCTGGCGCTTGAGGCTGGCGTGCATGCGCGCCCGGGCTGCATACGCCACGACGCTGATACCGCCCCTCCTCCCTCCTCCCTCCTCCCTCATCCACCCTCCTCATCCCCCCTCCTCGCTACTCCTGATCCTCCCTCCTCCTCCCTCCTCCCTCCCTCCCTCCCTCCCTCCCTCCCTCCCTCCCTTCTTTACGTTCCTTCCTTCCTCCCTGCTCCCTTGTCCCTCCTCCCTGCTCCCTCCCTCCCTCGCTCCTCCTTCTTCTCCCCTCCCTCCATCCCTCCTCCCTCCTCCTCCCCCCCCTCCTCCCACTCCTCCTCCTCCTCCTGCTGCTGCTGCTCCTCCTCCGCCTCCTCCTCCTCCTCGTCCTTCTCCTCCTCCTCCTCCTTCTCCTCCTCCTCCTCCTCCATCCACCCTCACTCGTTCCTCGTCCCTCTTCTCCTCTTCATCCTCCAGCCTCCATCCTCCCACCTTCCTTGCTCCCTGCTGTTTCCTCGCCTCTTACACCGACGCAGATCGAGAGGTCGCCGCGTCTGCCTTTCCTCGCTCCTCGCTCTTGTCCTGCACCCTCCCGCCCCTCCCCTCTCCAATCTCCCACGACCTACCCCTGCACCCTCCCGATCCTACTGCTTCTACGCTTGCTTGTGCCCCTGCAGTTGCCCCGGCTCCTGCTGCTCCGGCTCCTGCTGCTCCTCCTGCTCTTCTTGCTCCTCGTCCTGCTTCTGCTCCTCCAGTGGCCTTCACAGTCTCACGTCGTGGAGCCACTCGCGCGCCGGTCTTTCCTGCAAGGGAAAGATGCTCCGTCTCCTGCTCCTGCTCCCTCGTCACCCGTTCTTTCTCCTCCATCCTCCTCCTGCTCCCTCCCAGGGGGAGAGCAGCCTCATCCAGTTGCAGGCCATCGGCGTCAGCGACGCAGAGGCGGAGCAAAGGACTCCTGCGATTGACCCCATGCCCTTGCCACGGACCAGGATGATGTAGAGAAAGGGGAGGCCAGAAGGTGCAGAGGAGGAGTAAGAGGAGGGACGCGCGCCGATCACAGTGCAAGGCGAAGGGTGAGGGTTCGCTTCGCCAGGGTTTCGCTTCGCCCGGTTCGCGTTACCCAGGGTTCGCTTCGCCTAGGTTCGCTTCGCCGCGGGTTCGCTTCACCCGAGTTCGCTTCGTCCGCGAGGGTCGCTTCGCCGGGGGATCGTTTCGCCCCCGGCTGGGGTCGCTTCGCCCGGAATCGTTTCGTAGGGGCAGCTTCGCCCAGGTTCGCTTTGCCCGGTTCGTTTCGCCCGGTGTGCTTCTCCCAGTTCGGTTTGCCCGGGGTTCGCTTCCCGCGTGTTCGCTTCCCGCGTGTTCGCTTCGCCCGGGGTTCGCTTCGCCTGGGGTTCTCTTCGCCCGGTTCGCTTCGCCCTGTTCGCTTCGCCCCGGCTCTAACGCTCGGTTCGCTTCGCCAGGGGTTCGAGTTCGCCTCGCCCGGTCCGCTTCGCTTGGTGTTCGTTTCGCCTTTTGTTCGGGTTGGCTTCACCCAGGATTCGCTTCTGCCAGGGTTTGCTTCGCCTAGGATTCCCCTTGTGCGGGCTCGTTTCCAGGGCGCTCTCTCGCCCTGACGTCGCCTGGCCTAGGGCGCTGCGCGGAGGTGTCTACTCTGCACGCTGCCCAGTGAGGGCTGGAAGAGAGGTTTTGCTGCGACGCACCCAGCCCAGTTGTGGCGCAGGAGTCTGCGCCTGCGCGCGCGATGCATGTGCGTAATGCGCTACCCTATGCGATTCCGCCTCCCGCCCGCCCCGTTCGCTTCTGCCACGCAGCACCCACGGGCTCACCAGCCTCCGTCTGCAACGCAGCACCTATACACTGCGCAGCCCCCGCCTCTAACACAACGCGTGCCTAGTACGCAGCCTCCCGCAGCAAGAGAGCATCCCTCGGAGCTCGATTCAACTCCAGACCCCACCCGCCGCCCGCCCCGCTCGCGACTGCACGCTCCACCCCTCTCTCTCTCTCTGCGGCGCTGGCGGTCGCGGGCGCGCCCTGTGCGCCGGCGGCGCGCGCCGTGGCACGGGGCGCACTAATCGGGGCTGGACAGAACCCCCAACAGTGACACGTCGATTAGTGAATTGTCCGTTTTCGGTTCTCGAGATGGAGCCGTGGCCGTCATTTTCCAGGCTTGCGCCCGCCAGGTTTGGGCCCCAGGTCGTTTTCACTAAACCACGTCTTGCTAAAGGGGGGTCTGTCCATCCCCGAACTAAGGTTGGTGGAGAAGACGAGGGCGGCCGCAGCGGAGGATCGATGAGGACCGGCACTCTGCGGGCGGGATGCTCCCCCGTACCGGGATACTGCACTGTCCCTGGGATACCGCACGGCCAGCTGCCCGATCCGGGGCTTCTGGAGTCTCTGAGGCATGGTCTTGCTGGGGCGATTCTTGCCTCTCATTTCTGCCCTTCTGGTTGTTGTTTTTAGTACCAGTGAGCCGGGGCAGCCGAGCGAGGCTTGGAGACAGAAAGTGACATAAACATAAAAACTCGGAGGTCCGCGCGGATTTCTCGGATCGGCGCTGGACCCCCCCCCTGGCGCGCGGAGCGCGACAGGGGCGGCAGCCGGAGGCGCCGCCGGGGGGCCCCAGCGCCGATCCGAGAAATCCGCGCGGACCTCCGAGTTTTTATGTTTATGTCACTTCTTGTTCCCCTAACCCAAGGTGACTCTGGCGAGAGGTCACTCTTACGTCGCCTTCCTCACCTCCTCCTCCTCCTCCTCCTCCTCCTCCTCCTCCTCCTCCCCGAGTTTATATAATGTTTTTTATGTTTATGTCTTGTTTTGCTCCCCTAATTCTGCCCGCCGCCCCTCCGAGGGCGCCCGGGCCTCTCGGTGGCCCCCAGCGCGGCCCCTCCTGCCGGCAGCACGCACGGGCCCGCGCGCCTGCCAGTGCAGGCCGGTTCCCGGTGCCCGAGGCCCCCCCCAAGGCCCCTTCATTTCTGTCGGCGGCGAGCCACAGGGGGGGGAGTGAGGGGGGGCGGGCCTTCTCGGAAGGCTCGGGAGCCCCCCGGCCTTCCGCGAAG